CATCTCGTATGTGAGGGACTCGCATGCGAATTCGTTCTTCGGTGTTGTGAGCTAATCAGAGCGGGGACTTCATTTTGTGATCGTTCAAGGTCAAAGGAACACTCCTTGATGCCCAGCCAGTTGACATGTTACTGGAAGAATCAACACCCAGGAACTTGGAAAGTTCTCAAACAAAGCGTGTATTTCAGCCGTTATACGTTCCTCAAGAGCAGATAGACTCGCGTTCATCCACGTCCTCGAGAGATTGAAGCTGCACAGTTTCCACTGGCAGTAGCGTTGCCTATTGCGATTGGAATATAGTTCAGAGCCAGTGCAACTCAGAGAGCCAGTTTCCAGGCAACCCCAGATTTGTCAAGCCGTGTGCGGTCCTCCGTTTTTGAGCTTTGTCAAGAGGGTAGAATTCGAAAAATCTGGGATGTTGGACTCGGAGCTCGGAGGAAAGGATTGGAAGCGGTAGTAATTCTGAAGTCCTGCTTCAGATTGGGTTAAATCTGTTCCAGACAGCTCAGACCAAGTTGAGCTTGGATTTTGACGACAGCCTGCTTGAGTCGGAGATCACTGTTACAACTTGAACCTGGACCGGAATGAAAAGTTTGAGCTTCAAGTTCTGAGCTGAGATATCGCGAGCCTCCGAGCCTCCGAGAAAACATAGAATGTTGGAAAATTTTGTTCGTTCCAGAGTATAAAAGTGCGCGATACCCAGGGTTTCTCGAGAGTGAGTAACTTGAGGTTTGGGGAAGGAAGAAACATTACCTGTGTACATCTATTTCCCCTCCCCACCCCAACCAAACACAACCATCTTTTTGACGACGCGTCCCAACCACCATCTCACCGTTCCCGCCGACGACCTCCGACCTCCACAACGATGGCCTCCCAACCTCCCAAACTGATAATTGACGAATTTATAGGGACCGCGCTGTCAGCTACGCCCGCGGAACTTCATCCGTTCTTTGAGTCGTTTAGGAATTTGTATACGCGCAAGTATGTTCTCTCCCTCTTTTCCTTCCTATTCAAGAAAGGGAGCTAACGAGGGATTTGGGACTTACTAGGCTATGGCATCAACTCACACAAAAGCTCTTCCAGTTCTTCGATCACCCACTTGCGAGGCCGTATAGGGTCGATGTGTTTGAGCGGTTTGTGAGGGATTTTGAAGGGAAGATTAATCAGTTGAAGTTGGTTGAGATGGGTGTGAAGGTTTCGAAGGATATTGATAGTACGTCTCTTCCTCTTCTTCCTTCCTCCTCCTCCTTCCCTCTCGTCACACAAACGAATGCTGACCGCGACACCCAACAGACCCCCAAGTCCACCTAACATTCCTAACATCCCTCCTCTCCCGCATCGACACCTCAAAATCGCAAGAAGCCCATGTTTTACTGCTCGCTACCATCGCGCACGCCAAGCTGCTCTACGGAGATGTTGAAGGCACGAAGACGGATATGGATGAAGCGTGGAAGATCCTTGATTCGCTGGAGGGCGTGGAGAATGCTGTTAATGCGGCTTATTATGGCGTTGCGGCTGATTATTATAAGGTCTGTCCCTGTGTCTCTTTCGCCCCGCGTTGTGCAGGGAGAGGCTGATGTGTATGAAAGGCAAAAGCGGACTACGCGCCGTATTACAAACACTCGCTTCTTTACCTTGCTTGTGTGGATCCGGAGAAAGATTTGTCGGCTGAGGAAAGGCTGGGGAGGGCACATGATTTGGGGATATCGGCTTTTCTTGGGGATACGATTTATAATTTTGGTGAATTGGTATGTGATTCCTTTTTCGAATGAAAGAATGAAAAGGAAAAGAGGTTGACGAGGTTTTTTTTTTGATAGTTGATGCACCCCATTCTGGATGCGTTGAACGGCACACAACATGAATGGATCAAGAAACTTTTGTTCACGTTTAATGAGGGGAATATTGGAAAGTTTGAGGCGCTTGCTCCGCTATTCCCCAAGGAGGTTCGTCACGCCAAGCACAACGTTCGTCGGCTTGGGACTGATCTCGGACGTTTCCAGCCAATCCTCCAAGAAAACTATGCCTTTCTCCAGCAGAAGATTTGTCTGATGGCGCTTATTGAGTCAGTGTTCAAGAGGAACGCGGATAATCGGACGATGAGTTTCCAGACTATCGCGGAGGAGACGAGGCTGCCTGTGGATGAGGTCGAGCATCTTGTTATGAAGGCGCTGAGGTAAGTGCCTTCATTGTCAATGTCAACGGCATCTTATCGATTCCTCATGTTCCTCTCTGTGCACCCTTTCGTAAATCTCCGTGCTAATTCCTTCAATCTCATCTCTAGCCTGAAACTTATCCGTGGATCTCTGGATCAGGTCGATCAAAAGGCGCAGATAACCTGGGTACAGCCGCGCGTTCTTTCGCGGGAGCAGATTGGGGGGCTCGCGAAGAGGCTGGAGAAGTGGGTTGATAAATTGAATACGGTTGAGCAGAGAATTGCGCCTGAGGTGTTGGTTACTGCTTAAATTTGGATGATGTGTATTATAAAGTAGTAATTGTTACAAGCCTTCCTTGACATATGTATGAGAGATGAGATTGATGTGATCAGAACCCGTGTTGTGCCAAATTGGATCTGAGTGACAACGTGCACCTTAACAACGTCCTCTTCACCTCACATTCAACTCACTTTTGAACATTCCCGCAACATTTCCTACTCTGCATAGATTATCTGATTCCAACGCGGCACGCCGAAACAACGAGGCTTGGCTTTGACATATCAGGTGGTTCACACCCAGCAAATTACAAACTCGCTTCACCACCTGCCTTGCTGCGCTATTTCATTAAACCGGTCTTTTTGGACCAAATCCCAGCACCCAATTCCCAAATTATCCACTTCTCAGGATATATGGCCAGTCTACCCAATCCACCACCTGAACACCAGCAGCAGCCTGTGACCAAACTCCCTGCATCGTCCACGTTCTCTTTCAAGGCCCCCTTTCCCGCTTCTTCTTCCTCTTCCTCATCTACACCCGCGTCTCCTTTGAAACACAGGCGGGTCTCGTTGGCATTGCCGTCTTCACCGAGAGTGGTGCAAGCATGGAGTTTTAGGGACGATACGGGGATTGACTCGAGTAGTGGTGGTGGCAGTAACCTCGCACTACCCGAGAAGAAGGGCAAGATGCGTAAGATTGCACCGACAGCTGAGGACGAGGATCCAACGACCTTTCAGGAGAAGAAGCCGAGGAAGAAGTGGTCCGCTGAGGAGACGCAGATGTTGGTCGATGGTTGTAATCGGGTAAGTGCATTTCCCCCCTCATAAAGCTATCGCTAACTTTTTTATGAAATAAGCATGGAGTTGGGAACTGGAAGACTATTCTAAGCGACCCTACCCTCAAATTTGATAGCCGTTCCCCCGTCGATCTCAAAGACCGGTGCGAAGCTTTTCGATTATCATAGGCCACGAGACATGCATACTAACTAACACGCGACCCAGATTCCGCACCTACTTTCCAGACGCTTACAAACAACACTACCCCAACGCCCGCACCCACCTCTCCTCAAAAGTCCGTTCAACCCTCCCGGACGGCTCCCCCTTATTCGAAAAAACACGCAGTAAACGGCGTAGGCCATTCACTGAAGAGGAGGATCGCGCACTTAAAGCCGGATATGAGAAGCATGGGACTGTGTGGGCTACGATCGTCAAGGACCCTGTGTTCCAGGACCAGAACAGGCGTTCGACGGATTTGAGGGATCGGTTCCGGAATGCGTTTCCTGAGCTGTATCAGTTGGCGGGGTATAAGCCTCGTACGGCCGCGAAGAAGAAAAACGGTAGCACCCTTTTGGGGGATTGCATTGGGATGGGACAAAAGGTGCCCATGAGGGCTGCGACGGACGATCAGTTGGTCATGTCCACGACTGGACCTGTTCGGAGCCGGAGACGCGCACATACGAGCCAGGGGTTGTTGAGAGGGGGAACGAAGAGTGTTCCGCAGAGTACGGCTGTTTCTGAGGATGAAGATAGTTCGGGCGGGGAGGACGAGAGTGAAGCATCCCCTGCGTTCAAGCAGCCCCAGATCCCTGTGTTCGTGGACAATGTGTCGACTGTGTCTCTGAGGACGAAGAAGCAGCCTCCGTCGGTGGTGGACGTGTTCACGCTGGACGACGACGACGAGATGGAGATGGTCACGATTGATTCGTTGTCTGACCCGCTTACGATCCCTGACTTTCTGCCTAATCAAACGCATTCGGAGATGGAGACGCAGTCTCAGCAGCCGTGGTCCTCTGGCATCAACACGCCAACGCACTCGCACAATGCGTGGTCGACTACGGCTGGCTCGCCTACCTCCAGCCACATCTCAGCCGACTTTCTCATGAATCAAAACCAAAACACCACCTCGTCCCATTCATCTCCTTTCCTCCACCAACGCTCCTCAGGTAATGGTAACGGCAACAACCTCGGCATGATTGGAAAATCAGCATGGGGGAACGATTGGTTTTCACCCAATCCAAGACTGGACCCATCTGCATCTGCTTCAGACGTCCTATCGCCCGCGTCCCCCTTTTCCTTCAGCCACCACCTCAACCATGGGGTATTGGACCGCTACGACTTATTCCCCGCCTCAATGCCTCATGACTTTTCGTCGGAAGTGGGTGTGGGAGACTCGCATTCTACGTTTTCGGACGAGATGTTTCCGCCGAATGGGTTCAGGGGGTTTACGCATCATTCGAATTATGCGGGGGATCTTATTTTTGGTGCGAGGACTCATCACCACCAGCCTCAGTCGTCGAGTTATTATTCGGCTGGGTTTGGGTTTGGGCTTGGGTTTGGTGGTGGGTTGGGGTTGTCGGGGATGGGGCAGACGGCGGGTATACACCCAATGCAACTTCATACGCCTGCGTTGCCTGGGATAGATGAGATTGAGCTGACGGGTATAACGTTAGACGACCATGCGGATCCACTAGGTGTGCCTCTGCCACCTGACGCGATGGACGATGACGAGCTGGACGTTTCTGGCTTGTCGTCGTTGTCTTCTTCTCATTCTGGACTATCTTCGTCGCTTTCTTCTCAGTCCGTTCCACACACCCAACAACAAAAAGAGGAACCGCAAGAGCCGATTGACAGACTTTGTTTGGACGATATCGTCGATTTCTCACAAGAGCTGCATTTAACGCCGCCTGCTACGCCGTTGAACCACCCTCGACCGATGAGACGTTCCTCCGGGTCGGTGTTGCAGCACTATTCGTCAACGGGTAATGGGGGTGCCCCGCATACTAGGTCTATCTCTGTTCCTCCTTCCGAAGCTAGAGGTGCGAATGGGAATGGGAATGGAAGATGGAGGATCTCCCCAAATGGACAACCGGAATCGTCTTTGGGAGGGGGGTCGGTCTCTATGAGTGAGCTGTCCCCCTTTTTCAGCTCACCTACGCCGAGCAGTACGGGTAGTGCACGGAGTGGTGGTGGACTACGTGCGCCGTTGTTGCCGTTGCCGGATTTCAGACCGCTTACGCCTACGAATACGAATACTCAACACTCGCAGAATTCGCTTTTGTCTACGAACGCGAGTTCGTCCCCCCCTCCTTCCATGTCAATGCACGATTCTTGGCGAACCAACATGTTCGCAAACGGGAATACTCTGGACATGTACGACCTCCCCTTCCTCGACTTACACTACTACGGAGGCTCCATGGGCAACAACAACGGGAACGGGAACACGTTTGGCTTTAGCGGTTTGACGGCAGCTGCTGGAATGGATGTTGCGGGTGATAGTAGACAAGGACAGGCGCTTGATTTGGCGCAGGCTGCTGTGTCCAAGTCTACGAAGCAACAACACGTTTCTGACCCTCCTCTGACGACGGCGACGACGACCAAGGATTCAGTGCCGACGACGGCGCCGAAACAGCAGGGAAGGTCGATGAGTCATCATAGGGGCCAGAGTGCGGTTTGTCCCCAGGATTTGATGCTCCGGAATGATAATAAGCGGAAGAGGGCGAGTTGGGATGGGGGTCATGGGTAGTTTTGTTGTTGGAGGTTTCGAAAGAGGTTGATTGGGTCTCCTCTATTTCGGTATTTTTTCTTCTTTCTTTCTCTGTTTCTTTGGTTCTGGTTACGTGCATATATTATCTACTCACTCATACGTTACGGTTACTTTCACAGGTCTCTTTACTTGTCCCTTTTCCTCACCACTTCCCACATCCCACATCCACTCACCACTGGTTTCGCTGCTTCCACCTTACTTCTCCCGGATTATCATTTGTTCAACCATCCATCCATCCATCACCAGTATTCGCTCCCCCTCCCCCATTCTTTGGGGTTATTATTTCCTCATATCATTAGTACATATCACATTGTCACGATTGCGCCATGAATTCAGTTGCATATTTTCTTCTTTTCTTTTTCGTTTTGAGGTCAGATTCTGATGCAACTTGTTTCGGTTAAGGATTAAATGCCCTCAACCTCGATGAATCCAGTTTGCATATTCTCGTTTCGTTTTTGGGTCAAATTCTGATGCAACTTGTTTCGGTTAAGGTTTAAATGCCCTCAAGCCTCGATGTGGACACGATCAACCAGTGGATTGGACAACCTGCTCATTTCTGGTGGATCCTTCCAATCTTCCCGGCAAACCTGATTGATTTTTGACACCATTCCATGCTATTCCATGATGTCGGGCCGTTCCAACTTCCTACATATATAAATGCTGGCCACGTCAAGTCCACCTTGCGTGCCCCCTTGTCAGCTAACTGATCTCCTTTGATTTCGTGGACCAAGTTCTACAGACGAGATGGCGACCACTCAAATTGATCTTTCCAATCTCAAATTCAGAGTCCAGCTGATTACGGGCGAATGTGGGGTCCGAGAGGATTATACTGAAGATTTCGGAAATGAAGAGTTCGACTCAGAACTTGACGCTTCTGCTCCTGATTTCAGCAAAGTCGGTTATGATTCAGATGATGAGTGGGTTGACGAGTGGGAGCCTTGGCTGAAAGTAAGTCTATAACCCTTGCTTCGCCTTTGCTCTTGGCCGGCTTGAAGACTAAAGAATGCTGTAGATTTATTACATTGAGATTGTTACCAAAGACAAAGGAAAGAAAATAGGGAGGTTCGGCCTTAGGTCCGTCCAGGCGGTCGCACGCACCGTATCCCAATACGAAAATCTTCCGTATCGCCTCGTCGCTTCGGAGCGAGGTGGATCTGTGCGTTTTACAATAATCATGATCTGACCAGATGAAGTGATTTCATACGAAATTTAGGATCTCGAAGCGTTTGGGACAACGCTCTTTAATGAAGCGAACCGAGGTCGACTGAGAGAGGAATTTCTCTCTGGTCCGACAAAGGGCACTGGAGTCTTCGGAGAGGAGCTCAATTACGGGTCCTTCGCTGTCATTTCCAACGATGCTCAAATCGCAAAGGACGACTTCTTCATCAAGCCTGAATTTCGTGGACAAGGCATTGGTTCGTGGGCATTACAAGAACTGAAGAGGCATGCAACCCTTCATGTATGTGTAATTCAATATGTGCAACATATTTATTGACTGATTCGCCATGCAGAACATTGACTTTTTGTTTGTGGAACCTGGGGTAACAGATATCACATACCAGCAGCGCAGCGACGTAGCGTTGGTAAACTCCAAACACGCACGCGTTAAACGGTTCTTCCGCAAGGTATGCTTGCTCACTGATAGGACAGAATTTTCCGTGCTGATGCATATGCTGAACACAAGGCAGGTTTCAGGCGGGTGGGGACAAGTTCCTACTTCGGATATTCGCTTCGAAACGACAAGCACCCATCCCGCAGGCTGGCAATCGAGGATGATTGCGAACCGTTATAGAATCAATTAGCGAACCCTGTTTTGCTAGCCTGCTCTGGGTCTCATTTGCGTAGTATTCACGCTCGTTTTTTCCAGTGGTGCTAGTAATGAGCTTATTTATTGAGCTGACGTTCGAAAAATGGCAGAGTTGGGATCAAGACGAATACAAGTACATATTTGAGTAGAAAGCGATACTATGACAAATTTGGGGGATCTAGAATCCTATGTTTCTTCCTACTAAGTAGTAAAGAAATGAAGCGGTAAGGGAACCAATCTAGAAAGAGAACCTGTCCAACATACCTGCCCCTGAAGCGCGATTGTGATCTCGAAATTTGTCCGACCAATTTCGTCTCCCGGGCTGATGGAAAAGACACGACCGGGGTGGGAATAGTTGATGGTATAATGAACGGCGGAGCTGTTGCGCCTCTTCACGATGTATGTTCCCAAATCGGAGAAGGTCGCGCTGTCTGTAGGGTAAATAAATTGATCCACGCCGCCAACAACGACAACATGCGCGGTTGAGTGCGTATTGTTCGTAATGGTGAAAGAGATGACAGAAGCTATCAAGAAGGTCATAATCAGACTGGGTCACCAATGCTTCGGCAACATCAGATGTGGAAGAGCAGAAACGGTAGATGGTACCTACACATTTTGCGGGGTTCAAGTAAGCTGGACTGGTGACGAATGGCAGTCAGATCACGATGATGCCGACGAAGTGAGGCTTTAAATGTGTGTACATACCAGACGGAAAGTTTGAGTAAAGTATAGTTGGTGGGGTAAAGACAAAGGAAAGAAAATAGCAAGGTTGGGCCTCAGGTCCATCCAGGGGCTAATACGAAGATCTTCCTTATCGCCTCATCGCTTCGGACGGACGGCATGTTGGCAGGGCTTCAGTCCTTGTCTGGATCGGTGGTCGAGCTCCCAGGTATTTTTGTCGCAGGGCTAGCTCCTTCCCTGTAAACGATCGTTGAGAGCACTCGGTCACCGGTGGTGGCCGCAGATAAGAAATCGCTGTCTTTTGAGTCTTTAGGCAACAATACCTGGAAACCAGGTGACCATGTTGTCTTCCTAGCTCGCTCCAAATGCTGTTCGAGAGCCTTAAGCTTTGCGTCGTATCTTCAGAGAAGTGCATGCGCAAGCCAGTCACCGGCACCTCTGAATCACCGTGTCAACTTACGTTTGCTCACGCCTGGCTGGCTAAGTGGCTTCAATGCTGGATGGTTGTAATATTTTATCTTTTGGCCGACCTCGTAAGTTTCATGGGTAAGTAACTTTATCCGTACCAATTTACAGATGGGTGATATCAGATAAGACAATTCCTCACAACGTCCTCTGCGTGTTCTAGTCATAACCACGACATTTTTGACGTACTCCAACATCCTCTTCAGACCTCCAAATCCTCGACATCCTCCTCCCCAGTCTTGCCCAAATCCAACTTGCGTTTCCTCCCAGGCATCTCCTTCCCACCACCAAACCCAACGCCCGCCTTCATCCGCAGCACGTCCAGATCCTGCTCTGCCTCCTCAGCCCACTCCAACACCAAATGTCGGCCGAGCAAATGGGTGTGCCTGAGTGCATCATATGCGTTCTCGGCTTCGCGGCGGGATACAAAGTCGAGGAACGCGAACCCGCGTGTGCGGGCGTCGAATTTCTTGGGGAGGCGTACGGATTTCAGGTGTCCGTGAGCACTTGTTACAAACAACGATTAGCTCCAGTGAACACAAAACGCAAAGGGGCAGGACATACCCAAAGAGATCCCTGATATCCTTCTTCGTAGCCTCAAACGGCACATTCTTCACAATCATCTTGGTGGTTGTCGTACTCTTCGATCCTTTCACGACCTCCTTCTCCACCTCATCAGCACCACGTCCTGCAAACTTGACATGCAAAGCATGCCCATCCAACGAGAACCCCTGCATGCTCTTCAACGCCTTCCTGGCCGACTCTGCATCTTTGAACCCAACGAAGCCATATCCCATACTCAGTCGACTGCCAGGCCGTTTGGGATCGGGTTTCGTCTGTATCCTTGCAAAGGAGAAAGCGGGCAAATGACAGAATACTTGAGTCAAGCGTTCTTGTGTCGTGGAGAAGGCGATGTTCTTGAGATAGAGAGTTGTGCCACCAGAAATCGATTGCTCCTCCTCTTCTCCCTCTGCAGTAGGGTCGGGGATTTGCTGCTCAGCGATCTTGATAGCGGCGTGTGACGGGCCCGTCGTGCTAGGTGCAGCCGGCGTAGAGCCTTCTGCGAACATCCCTAAAGGCCCTTTCTCCAAATATACCACTGTGCTCCCCAACCTCCGATATGCAACAGCGCGGAATGCCTGCGCAGCATCGTCTGGCTTCTCAAAATCCACCACGGCCATCGTGCCAGCTGGAGGAACGAGCACCCTACTCAGCTCGCCATGTGGTTCGAACATTTCGCGGATCTGCTCGACCGTCGTGCCGTAGGGTATGTTCTTGACGAGAATGGTGGTATCTGACCGGGCGCGAGAGCCGAAGGATGATAACAGAACACCTTGTGACTCGAGGTAAGTCTTGGTTTCTTGAATGATGTGCGTCTCAGCCAACGCGAGTTTCACAGCTGCGTTGTCACCAGACTCGGGATTGAGGATGTCGGCTTTGTTGATGTTCATGCGGTCCGCGATGGAAGACGCTACAGCATCACTCTAGCGTACAGAAAGAGGCGTGAGATTGGGAAGCGCTATTTTGGTAGGGTGAACACGAACATTCATATACAGCATACTCCAGTTGAACTGCTTTCCAGCGTTTGCTTTTCGTTTCTGGTTTTTCTCCTCCTTCATCGTCTTCTTCCGCCCATCACCGTCCTCGACTTCAACCTTGCCCTTTCTATCGACGGCTGCGAGGATATGAAGCAGCCGTCCTTGGAAGGACTTGCGGTCGAGAGCTTCATAAGCTTGGAGCGCGTTTGCTGGTTGAGCGAAGGAGACGTACGCGAGGCCCTTCGGCTGCCTGGTAGTAGCATCTAAAGGCATGTGTATCTGGGGAGAGAAATGATGAGCATCGACGTGATGAAAAGCTAGTAGAATGAAAAGAAAAGTCAGAATTATATTTCTACTATC